GGCAACACCTCCCTAATCTTCAGGATGGAGAATGCCACCACCTACCTCAATACTATCAGCATAGTTTGAACTGAGAGCAATCAATTCAGTCAGTATAATCTTACTACTTGTATTGTTTGCCAGGAGGTGTGGCCTTCTCACTCCCTTGTAAGAACTTCCATTATAATACTTAGTTTTTCAGAGTTCCTTTTCCTTTAAATAATTTAATTCAAACTTTTTCCTGCTTTTAGTGTTGACTAAGATTTTCCTCCACATTTTTGTTGACTAAGGACTTCATAATCTATTCTTCAGCTTCTCCACAAGGGCTGCCAGTGATTATTCCTTCAACTGCTTCATGGTGCAAATCCACAAAGAACATCTGTTCTGATTTTAGAGCTCAAATCTCAGAAGGGTTATAAGGCGTTTAAAGTAGGCAAGCAGCAGAACTGAGTGAAGAAAACAACATTGCAGTCCAAAACACATTTCAAAGAGAATATATGAAAAGAACTAGTGTATGTTTACCTTTAATCTCTCCTCAGAAGATAATGATTTTCCATTTAGAAATACTTCCTGCACTTTAGAAACTAATTAATGAGTTGTACATAAGAATTAATTCATATGGTGACTGTAATGTTCCAAACATACCATTATTATGTTTTAAAATCCAGAATCTGACACAATTTATCTGTGATAGTCAAGAATTAAAAGCTTTAGCAGAACATGTTATCAAAACTAGTTGTAAATGCTAGTGGAAGGGTGGGCATTGTTGGAGGCTCAAGATATTGTTTTACAATTTCCACCATCATTCAGCACCAGAGTATATTTGATTTAAATCAAATCATGATTTAATTTTTTTAAAATCATATTTTTAACAATTTAAATACAAATTAATTTTTAAAATCAAATCATGATTTAAACCATGATTTAAATCAATTTGGTTTTTTTTAAAAAAAAACATTGAGGCCCAGGTCACACAAGGGAAATGTTTTCTAGTTCTTCTGATCCTTTCCATACTTCTGTTGTACTGAATTTTGGTCATGTGATTTATATCCTGGGACAGGCATCCCAAGAACTTTTAGCGGTACCAATTTATTTCCTTTGAATCATTATAGCCAGCTACACCATGGTACCGGTATATTTTCTCTCTTGCTTCAAGGGACAATTTAGCCCCTTGATATTTGTGTGTGTGTGTCTACATTGCTAAATCAGGAATAAGGTTCCATCTAAGGTGTGCAACTAACTGCATGAGCATACATGACTCTGCCCCTCCTCACAGCTTTCCTCCTCTCCCATGCACCCATAGCAATCGTTGCAAGCCCCTTTCATTCCAGTCACAATGGAAACCCACGCAGGGTGTCAGAGTCACATGCACTGCAGGGCAGACTTTCACACGGGGGTGGGGGTGGAGCCCTACACAGTGGGGCTGAATATCAGAGGGAATATTGATCAGGAAGGGGTTTTTAGGAAAGTGTCTTCTGTTGCATTGGCTGCTCCTGCAGAAATGCATTGCACACAATGGACATGGGATATTCACACAGCAGTACTGACAATCACCCCATCCCAGTGACATTGGCATACCAATAGTTCAGTGTGTCTTCCCATAGTAATAATAATTAAAAAAAAAACAGTAATGAAACAGTACTGGCCCTCCAGTGACATACATTTACCAAACTATTGAGGTATTGGACACGGCAAAAAAAGTTGCTTCAGTAATGGCGGCCACCTTCCTAGTTTTGATTCTGAAAAGAAGTGGGGGCAGATCATGCACACTGGTAATCCCAGTAAGGAATGCAATAAAGGTACAAAACAACACAACTATCCTTGCAATGTTCCACAGTTATACCACTGGCCAGGAAAATATCTTGATCTTGACTGTGTGTTGTGTGGTGAGGGGAAGAAACCAGCAAACTAACTGGGAGATAACTAGAGAAGATTTCATTCATGTTTTTATCCACCCTGTTTAGCAGTCTCTATACTACCTAGAGTTGATGAGAGTTGTAATTTAACAACATGTAGTCTGTTAGCATCTTAATTCCTTTGATAAATGTTAAGTAGCATTAGGGGAATTTTGTCCGCAAGTGTCCTATATGAAAGGAGCCTCATGGCTCAGTGGTTAAAAACTGCTGTACTACAGTCAAAACTCTGCTCACAACCAGGGTCCAACCCCAGATAGCTAGCTCAAGGTTCACTCAGACTTCCATCCAAGGTCAGTAAATTTAGTACCCAACTTGCTGGGGGAGGCAATGTGTAGCCTCCATAATTAAACTGTAAACTGCCGAGAAAGTGCTTTAAACGCTATGGACCAGTATGTAAGTAGCGTGTTTTGTTTAATGAAAGACAAATATAGTGGTGCCTCGACTTACAAACTCAATCTGTTCCGGAATGGTGTTCTTAAGTCAAAACGTTTGTAAGTCGAATCAGCATTTCCCATAGGAATGTGTTGAAGCCCAAATAATCCATTCTGACTGTTCTTTGTTCTTATGTAGAGGCATATTTTGTAAGTCGAAGCATTAGTTCCCATAGGAACTAATGTGAAACCACTTAATCCGTCCTCTACCACTAGGGGGAGAATTTTCCTCTTTTTTTAACCTAAGATGACTTAGGTTTAAAAAAGGGCAAGAAAGGCGGGAGGGAGGGAACAATGGGGAAAAGAGGAAAGAAAGAAAGAAGGTCATCACTGGGGCACACAGACCCCTCAGACAAAGGTTTGTGCTGTTAAGCACAAAAAGAGAGAGAGAGAAGACAGCTTGGGGGGGGGAGAGGTTGGAGTCTAAAACATATTTTAAACAAAACACATTTGAGTCTAAACTGCATTTTAGAGCAAACCAGCCAGCACAGCCACTTACAGAATATTTTCTGATTTTAAGGAAAAAAAGACTTTGGAGTCTAAACTGCATTTTACAGCCTATCTGCATCAACAACCAGCAACCATTTTTCCAGCAAACAGACCCCCTCAGTACAAAAAGAGAGCACACACAGAGAGAGAGAGAGAAGACAATTGGGGTGGGAAAGAGAGACTTGAGTCTAAACTGCATTTTACAGTCTGCCTTCATCAACAGCCAGCACTGTAACTCACAGAATATTTTCTGATTTTAAAACAGACAGACTTTGGAGCCACATTTTAAACCCACACATTTTAAAACAAAAGATAGGTCACAGTATACAAACCCTAGAAGCCACAGAATGCAAAAATAAATAAATAAGTTTTCCATTTTAAATTACTGTACAGTCTAATATTCACATTTAATTTTAATTTAATATGACAGTCTACTTTTCACATTTTAAATTCACACTGCAAGCCCCATCAGAGCACAGAAACATAACCCCCCACC